GTATGATCTGCTGAACTGTAGAGTGCCTTGAGATGACATGTGTTGTAAATTGGCGCTATATAAATAAACTGAATTGAAATTTATAACCCTACCGACCCAGTTGAATTATTTAACTAAGAAGGTGCAGCCTGCAGGATAAAACTCAGGGCAGCAAAGACCCTTGCGCGCTTCCCTTCTTTGTTCGACGTCACATCCTCCCTCCTCTCTCTCTCGCTTCCATCTTGCTCCCCGCATGTGTTGGCTGTTAGTTTACAGGTCAGTGAGGGGCTTTAAATACCTTCTTCTCTCCACTGTTATCTTCTGAACTTACGGCAAAAGGTAAAGGAAAGCCTTTCCCGGTCGGATGGCTGAAATCCGCCGCCGCGTGAAGCTAACTTTACTCACGGATCTGTGTGGCGGTGTGACAGGCCGTGCTGCTAGCGGCGAAGCTAGTCAGACGTTAGCCTCTTGGTTTCTGTCCTAAATGCCGTCAAACTTCATTTAAGCTGAATACAGCTTAGTCAATATGAACTCACAGGGGTGTTAACTGCTTATATGGTTGGACAAAACCAGTTTTTGTTATTTGTTCCTTGCCTAGCTTCGCTCATTCACAGTGCCTCTGGTTACAGTTCAGTTTAGTGCTTGTTAACATGCTAATTGGGCGGTATTGTTAGCATTTTTTCGTTTTGCATCTTGCTACTGATAACTCTTTTCTAACTGAACGTGCTATTCTTGGCGATTTGAAGTTTATCTTGAGCGCTTACGGTTTACCACACCCACACTAATGCTGCTGCTCCCCTGCGCATGTGTGTTTATTATGTGTGAGGTGTTTGCATTATTACTTTATCCAATCACTGCGCTTCAGGCATCTGACTTTCTATAGGTTGAAATGCTGCTCTTGTACAATAATATATGAATTACTAAGTTAATATAAGTCATTTATTAGTGTTGCACCGATACCAGTATCGGCCAGGGCCCGATCCAGCACTAAAATTGTGGTATCGGCGAGTACCGACAAATAGGGCACCGATACCATTTTGAGAGCCAAAGTTTATTCAAATATTGGCACTCATTCCAGATGGGCAATAAAAAGTTCTGCTGTATTCACTTTGTATTATGCTATGTTCACACCTTAAGCAGAAAGAGCGGCAAAAACACGGGTGCGGCTTCATTTTTTATGCAATTTTAGTTCTGACACACAGCTGGAGCAGGTCGAAAAGTGGGTCTGATGCACGTTGGGCAGAGCTACCCCATCCTTTCTCTGCCTGTAAAGATGGCAGCCATATATATTGTGATCAGTGGGAATAAAGTAGTTTTAAAGTGTTTTTTATTCCACAAGAAAACTTCATCTGTGCAGTCAGTTCATCAAGATTATGATCCTGCATTCTACTATTATTTTGCTGTCAGAGTTGCTCAGACCCCCACATAGCGGCGGTGCAGTGCGCTGTCACTAGGAATCCCATTCAACAGCACCATCTTGCCCGGTCGTCTCTTCTTGGTTTGTCGCGGCCGCTGGACGCCGGTTTGTGTGTATGTAATCCAAACTGCAGACACCAGGATAATAAAAGTGAACATGTTTTCCCGGCAGATTTCAGCATTTTTAAGTTAATTTAGGTGTTAAACTGTTTCACAGGAATGATCATAGCACTCTGTATCATCAGTGATATCTGTTGCCCTGCCAGCTCCCAGATCAGCTTCTCTGATTGGGCGATGTGGAGCGCTGGACAGCGAAAGTTAAATTTTTCCAAATTCAGCAGCTGCTGCTTTGCAGCGTGTTGCTCGCGTTAGATGCTCAAATGCTCATGACGTGCTGCTTCAGCTGCTCAGAGGCGCTGCACTTGCTTCGTAAAACGCGCTGCGGGACCTTTTGCTGCACCTTGATGCACATCAACCGTTGACTTTGCATGTAAACTAGCTGCTCCTGCTGCCTTTGCTGCTTGCGGTCTGAACGTAGCATTAGTCTTTTTCCTGCTTCACAAAGGTAGGCAGCAGCTTGAAAAAGCCATGATGGCAATTATTTTACATCCAAGTAGTATGCAGTTCTTCATGTATACACACACACACACACACACACACACACACATTGATTCCAAATAGATGGTATCGGCCAATAATGCACAGCCAGATATTGGGGCCAAAAATTGCATCGGTGCTAGTTATTATCATTATTAAACACTATCGATTTTAGATTTGGTGGGTCAGACCTAAAATAGCCTAAGAAGGGGATCTATGTTTATTTGAACTGGCATAAACAAACTAGATGCAACTTTAGTTTCCATGTGTTTATTTTTATCAAGTTTTATTCGGTTGGCTAGAAGTCAAATGAAATGGTTTACAAATAATTGTTATTTTCAGTGGTCAGGTCCAGCTTTTTTATTGAAATCATCGGAGGCAGTCAATCTAAAATTTAACCCTGTGAACTTTAGCATATATAGTGCTCAACCTATGGCTTGATAGATTATGAAAGATTAAAAACTTTTGATCCTACCTCGGTTTTGGCATCACTTTGTTTACAGCATCATCTAAACAAGAAAATAGGACATTCTTTTTGCACCTTTACCTATGTCTCCTGTAGTAATTTTATTGCAGCATTATTTATTTTCTGTTGCTACATAATTTAGTGGGTTTCTGAAATTCACTATAAAATGCTCATTTTTGCAGCTTTAACTTGGATTTTAGTTTTGTGTGGATGTTTAAGATGCAATCTTGTTTCCTTTGGGGAGAAAAAAATCAAATTGGAGCCCTCACTAGTTGTATTGACCTAAAGGAAAACACTTTGCTTTATATCTGGTATTAGTTCTTTTAAGAAAGTTTTGTTCATGTTGCCATATGTTTAAAAAAAAGTGCCCTCAATTGTTTATTTCCATGCTGTTTCCATTTGTGTATCTGTCTTAGAGAGAGTGTGTGTGTGTAGGGGGCGGTCATGTGGTTTTTGTTTGGACATGTGACCAACATAGTGTGATGCAGGACAGGATTATAGGCTTTCAAGCTAAAGCAGAGCAGCAATGTCAGCAGCATGGTTGCTTTTCCAGGTGTCTAAGTGTAGGGAAATGTACTGTAAGTATAGGGAAGCTGCAATATTTTAACAGATATAGACTTATCCTCACATTGTAAAAAGAATTAATGAAGCTATCAAATCTGTTGAGCTTTTGATCTGACCAATAAGCTCAAGTCTTTCATTGACTACCAGCAAAATCAAATTAAATTTTTCATTCTGATGGAATGTGATAATTCTTTTTAAAGAAATACCCCTGCAGTAATATGTGTATTTATTCCTGCAGCTTTTAAAGACTGCTTGGATCTGATATCTCATTTAGGTTGTTGGTTGGACTCTACCCTCCATGTCCACACCAGAAATGGATCTTATTGGGATCACAAAGCCCAATTACAGCACTTTGGACACTGGTGGAGGAAGGTTGTATTGAGGAACAACTAGGTTAATCCTTCATTTTATAATTATTGTAATAAAGAAAACCATCACATTGTCCTGTTGTGGTAATCGGCTTGAGGATTGATGAAAATTAATACCCCATTTCATTTAAAACTGGTATTTCTTCTAAGTTAAATGTGCTTTTCTCTAGATGACAATGTAAATCAAAGCATCTAGTATGATCTAACTTCTCCGCAGCTTTGAAGTAAAACAGATTTTTACACAAAATATTAAACAATCTTTTTTGCACTGCTACTTTTAGAATAATAAGCTCATTTAAGCTGGATATTGAGAAAGGATAACAGCTCTTAAGAGAAGTAATTATGACAAGGCTGTAAAAATGTATATATTAACATTTTGCATTTGAGATTGAAAAACTCTTTTTTTTTTTTGTCTGTGAATATGCTCTATCAGCAGCCCATGAAGTTAAGTTATATCTTTCTCTTGTTTAAGTTGTGTATAAAAATCTTCAAGGAGCTTTCTGCTACCAATTTATTATTCAGTAAATTTAAAAAAAGTATCAACAAATAAATCAATTTGCAAAATAACGATTAGTCGTACCTCTAATCTCAATGCTTAGTTCTGTGTTTTTGCTAAAATCAATAAAAGGGCTAAAACATAAGTATTAATTGCTTTTAGTGGAGTAGTGACTGCTAGAGCTTAACTTCCTGTTGTTTTTGTGAGTTGCAGCATTTATTAAGTATGTTCTTAGATCACTCAGCTGTTAGGTTTATCAATGAAGAGCATGGAGCAAACCAATTCTGAAACTTTGTTCCAAGACAACAGGCCAAAAGTGTGAAAGCGGGATTTGATTTGTGCTAAAAGAGCTCTTAATATTCTTGGTGAGAAATAAGTAAACGGGATTATCATACCTATTACTTTGTCTGTTCGTCCCTGAGCTTGTGCTATAACAGAATGGCACATTTGCAAACGTTAAGTTATGACTCTGAACCCTAAAACTCTTGCTTTTTCTTTTAAGGTTCTTTAAGGTTAAATGAGTAGATGAAAGCAAAATCTGATAAAGGATTAGAGACGTACAGATTTTAGGAAGGAGTTTGGAACAGAGTTTCAAAGCTGCCTCCATGGCCTATGGTGTTTCTGGCTGCAACCTTTCCTCTTTGCTACATTTTGATTCATAGTTCTTGTTGCAACAAGTGGGAGGTTCATTAAAGTTTGTTAGAGATTAAACCCTTTAAGCATCAATCTTTCTATTCTAACCCAGGGAAAGTTGTGTTTAATTTGGAACTAAACAGTCAGGCCTTCATAGGTGCATGGTGTGGTTGTGGTCTAGCATCATGTGGGCTTGTGCTCCTACGTTTTTAAATCTTTGGTCATGTACTAACATCATATAATGTTGTATCTATTTTATTTTATTTTTTTTGGCAGATGAAAGAAGCAATTATGAATCAAGAAAAACTCGCTAAACTACAAGCGCAAGTCCGCATCGGCGGAAAGGTAACGCTAACACATGCAAAGGTTTAATTCGAAGTCCGTTGCAACTGGTTTCTTTTATTGCAAGGTGTTCAGGTTTGCATGTCTGTCTCCAAAGGGAAGCGCTCGCAGAAAGAAGAAGGTCGTGCACAGAACGGCGACCGCCGACGACAAGAAGCTCCAGTTTTCCTTAAAGAAGCTCGGGGTCAACAACATCTCCGGCATCGAAGAGGTTGGCACGGCTGCGCCGTAACTCCAGATGAATCTGTTATCTCCCGCACACTTGTCGTCTAAAATTTCCAAGTGTCATTCCAGGTGAACATGTTCACAAACCAAGGAACAGTCATCCACTTCAACAACCCCAAAGTGCAGGCCTCTCTGGCCGCCAACACCTTCACCATCACCGGCCACGCTGAGACCAAGCAGCTGACAGAGATGCTGCCCGGCATCCTCAACCAGCTGGGAGCCGACAGCCTGACGAGCCTGAGGAGACTCGCCGAGGCCCTCCCCAAACAGGGTGTGTAACCGTACACAGGTTTTCTCCTCAGTCTTGTGCCAATGAGCTACCTTGGATCTTTTTTGTTTTGGTTTTTTTTTTATACATTATTTTTTGTTTTCTTTGCAGCTGCAGATGGAAAAGCGCCGATTGCAACAGTAGAAGAGGAAGACGATGATGTTCCAGGTGAGAGCATGAAGACCTGCCTGTCCTGCTAATTTAGACAAAATATAGTTCCATCATTTATCTGCATGTTACCCCTATTCTGAACGAATAAATGTTGCAGGTTTTCTTTACTTTCAGCGCTGAAGAAAAAGGTTTTTGTTTATTTTGGTGCAGCCTTCAGATTTGTCTGTTTTTTTTTTTTTTTAACCAGGAAAAAAAAAACCCATTGAGATTAAAAACCTCTTTTTCAAGGGAGTCCTGGCCAAGAGGCAGCAAAGTTACCTAAGAAACATAGATACATTAAAATAAATGACAGGTACATAAAAAAAAAAAAAACAATTAAAACAATTACAGATCATTGAGGCTGCTTCAAATTCTTTCACTTTCAACTTAAAAGCATTTAAAGATAAAAACTCAGTCAATTTCCAGTTTATTTGTAAAAGAAATTCCACGCACAAGCTGCGTAGCTAAAGGCTTTCTTCCCTAGTTCTGTGTGGGCCAAAGGAACAGTGAGCAACAGCTGATCGTTGGATCTCAGGGCATAAGAAGCCATGCTTTTCTGTGTGAGTAAGGTACAAATGTAAGAGGGCAGTAATCCAAGAATGACCAGTGTCCAAACTGCTCTAAAAGAGGGAATGCCATTCCACCCGAGAGTGTTTGACGTTGTCCAAATCGGTTTGCTTTCCTTTGTGGAGAAGGTGGACCAAACACATGCGGTTGTCATTAGGATGATGTCAGTCTTTCCCAGGACTTCTCAGGTCTTCTCTAATGCAACAAACGATTACGTAGCAGCATGATGGCACAGGGGTCGACAGACCTCACCATCACATTGTTGTTTTTGGAATTGGGTTTCCTTTGTTCTCCAGTTGAAGGGAACATGTTTGCTGAGAGCCTTTTAAATTGTTTCCATTTTAACCTTTGACCCTCTGAGAACGTGACTGAGACAGGAAAGTTTCTCACATTCCCAGTGGAGAGAGAAGCCAACTGTTAATGCTTTTTGTCACTATTTGTAACATAAAGTCTTTTCTTTTTGTTACTTTTAATATAGTTTTAGCAAACGTACAAAACACACGTATGATGTATGTATTTACTGCAAAAAACAGCAGTGAACAATAATACAGTAAGAAATGGCATTTTTGTGTTTACAGAATTAAATAACTAAAAACCAAAATAAAGATTATAGGCTCATACTTTATTAGGATTTTAGCTGATACACCAACAAAAAGTACTTTAACATCTTAATTTATGCTCTAATAAGATACAAAATAAAAGGACATTTTCTACTTTTTGGACTTTAAGGTTGAGAAACTGAAACTGCGCTTGTTTTATTTGGGTTCGTTTTAAAAATGATAAACACCCTAATCATTTAGAGAAGTCCTGATTGTTTCTATTCCTCCCAAAAAAAATCCTGTCATTCCTGGGTGAATTCTGCAGAGGCTAAGGCATAAAGAAATCACTTCCTGCCGGCACCTTGCCGCCATCTTGGCAGCTCATTAAGCAGACTAGTGTTGTTCAGTTTTTTATTCTTAGAAACCAAAATATTATCTCATTTGTTTGCTATGATTTGTCAGTAATACCAGATTTGAAGTCAGTCATGTCCAGAATGCCGTGAAAACTCTGGTTTAGAAAAAAATAAAAGATAAATCTGGAAAAGTTTGGAATTTTGAGAATAAAACTGTTTTAACTCGGACTGGAAGAAAATATTTCACAAAACAAGCTTGTTTCCCCCCCCCAGTTTTTTTCCACACATTGTTCCCCCTTAGTCAGTACATTGCAAATCCAGATTTTGTAACCTTTATAAAATCAAATCCTAAAGTAGTGCAAAACCCTGGTGGATATGGGATTAAAAGTAATTGTTTAATGGCATATTCCTTCTGACTGTAAGAAAGGTAACATTCTGGAAAGCCAGTGCGACACCTGACTTAAACCTGAATATGTGAAGGAAGCTCAAAATTGGGGTGATGGTAAAGAGGCCTTGCAAACTCAGACTTAAGAGTTCATCACCACATTAAGAGCGCTGATCACTGTATGGAAGGATGTACAGTATATACTTTTTGATTAAAAATCGACAAACAATTCTCACTTAAAGTTCTTTCTGCTGAGTGTCTATGAGCATTGCTTTCAAAGATTAGCATCCTTTTTTTGGTGGCTGTAAGACTTCTTTCCCATTAGATGAAAAACCTCAGTGAAAAAACCCTTTTAAGGATTTTACATTTTCCTGATTTAAAGAAATAACGGATCACCTGTTTACTTTAGCCTTGTATGAAAAACAAAGGCTTATCTTAAAAATGATGATATGGATCTGTGTTTTTATTTTGCATCGATGGCAGATCATTTATCCCGTCCCGTCATCAATGTGTTGATTCTCCACTAATCTGAAACTGAGCTCCTCCTCCTTCCAGATGTTTGCAGTTTGGTTTAAACCATGTAGGAGGCACAGCAAACACGCTTCTTTTTGCTGCCCTTTCATGAACAATTCCACGTTTTAAGGGTCTGGGCATAAAATTTTATTTAGAGCCATCAAAGTGATTACGAGGGTGAACACTTAGAATTTGATCGTTAAAATACATTAAAACCATTTTTTTTTTTTTTTTTTTTTTTTCACATTTGTGCTCTACTTTGTTTTGATTTTTTTCCCCCTAAATTCTCAACAGCAAACATCAAAGCTGGTGTTTGTCTGAATAAATGTGTGAAAC